CGGGTGACTGACTGCAGCAATTCATTTAACAAACTGTGACCGGAAAGGCTGTACAAAGGGACAAAACTCAACTCGTATCACTTAGCAATGGAAACTCCACTGTGGTCATAAGTCGAGGACTACCTGTACTGATCACACTGCAATGGTCACAAGGGTGAGGACTATGTGAAAGTCTCTGTTTTTTTCAGTATTGTCGTAACTTAAAATGTTGGATAAATAGACAGTTTTTAAAGGGAAGATTAACTGGAAATCATCCTACATAAAGAACTCTGAATGTTCACTTACTGACTTAACATGAAGGAATGCACTGATCTCACTGCTTTTTATTTTTATTTTCCACCCAGGGCTATTTCTGCATATTAAAAAGGAACTGCGGGGGTTTTAAATCTTAGAATTTACATGCATGACATTTGAGCTGCACTGAGAATGTTCAGGGATGCAATAACCTGAGGCCTCTTATGCAACTTTGAAGGTAATTTCTACAGCTTGTATCCACCCCGTACCTTTTAATTCCATTCTAATTCCATTCAACAGCACATGAGGCAGCTTTAATAAATTATAATCCCACCCACGATACCACTTGTTTGTTTCAGATTAAGAGTGGCAAGCAAATCCAGTTAATTATCAGGTCCACCTTCGATGTTCAAACCCAGATCTTAATATATATTAAAATATATATAGTTTCTATATATTAGATTGTATGATATGTATTAAATAGGTTAAAATAATGGTTTAAAACTGGTTTATCTTTTCTGTGTGTTTAAAAAACTCCATAGACACCAACTGGCAAACCCTGAATTCAATAGATAAAAATAATTTAATTTAAAACATTTTGGGGGGAAGAGGTTGGGGTTTGGGGTTTTTTTTTTGGGGGGGGGGGGTTCATTGGCAATCTGAGTTTATTTGACCACAAAATCCTGTGGGGTTTTTTGTCAAGGAAACCCCACCAGAAACCCTAATAACTTAATTTTGTGGTAAGCAAACTTTCTGCTGCTGATTCTACAAAAATGTCTATAAGCAACCAGGACTTTATTATTCTTACTGAGTCCAATTTCTCAATGTGGTTGAAGCTCTGTGTGATCCAGGTGAACAGAATCCAGCTTTCAGAAGTAGAGAAACCTCTTTTCAATATTTTTACCTCTGACCTAGCCATCTGCCAATTTAAAAAAAAAAAAAAAAACTCGGTTGTTTCGTTTTCCTGTCTTTTGGTGG